TAGATGGACGACCAGTTTCAAATAAAATACTCAAGTAGCCTCAAAACTCCGTGAAAAGTTATCAAATTGCTGAGCTTTACTAGAGTTACCTGATATCCTGAAGCCCATCTACATAGTATGATACAGCGATCATTTCCTGTCTAGGCTTGTGCAACATGGCAGTACCTTAGCCCTTGTGCTTCCTTCGGGAAGCTAGGTAGCTAAGGAGTGCTAAAAAAGAACGATTATATTTTCATTTAATCTTTTTACCAGCGACCACTACCTCCCGCTGCGTGTACGAACGAGGTAACCGAAAAAATAACTGTCTGAGTACTGACTCCGGTCGACTCAGATGGCCTACCAACTTTCGTGTCATTTTGGGTAACCTTTGAGTTGCAGTTCATTGGATGGAGTTTCCAGCCAAGAGGTTGTGAACTCCAATTTGTTCGACATAATAACGGAATGTAAAGACTAGCTTTCACAATTGGTTGCCTTAAGTCATTAGGAGCGAATTAGCTCAGGACAGGTGAGTCGGAGTTGAAGCTACCAGTGTAACGGTGATACTACTGATGGGGGAAGCAGCATGCGAGAAGCATGTTTTCTTCTCGTAAATTCGCCTTGCGTCTCTTGAAAGGGAGATCTGGAATTTGTGGAGTCGCTTTGTAGCATTTGCTTGGATTTGAGTAATAAATAACTGGAGTCAATGAGCATCCAGGAACGTTCAGGAAAACGCGCTCAGGAGAAGATGGATGTTCAGTTTTTTTTTGTAAATAAGATGCAAATGAGAGTTTTGCTTCCCTGTCCAATAGTCTGTAACTGGTCAGTTGGCATTTTCTAATGAGTAACTCCGCAGCGAAGGTCTTCTTCCATTCACCGGCTCTTAACTTGATCCTTCAATTCGCTGAAAAAATCAATGGTCACATCGGGGGCTTACGTAATTGGAGGCATCGCTGACACATCCATCATCGGGCGCCTTCACGGGTTATGGAGCTACTGAGAGTGTGGTGAAAATTAGTAGACAGGCTTAGCTCAAAACCCTGGCATATGTGATCATTGCCTTGTGCATATTGCCGAAGTTTAACCCAAATTTGGGATGATGCACTTTGGGTCTTTCAATGTTATTCATGGAGGAAGAAACCGCGAAGAAACCTCACATAAATGGCTAATTTTCTCCAAATTTGTAGTAAACGCGTCTAGAGCGAATAGCAGACCTGGTCGCGGTTGACAGACAGTCCAATTTGGGGAGTAACCGTGGTTCCACTGAGACAGAGCCAACTAGTTCCTAGTCCATCTAATAACTTAACAACTGCGGTGAGATTTCGCTGAGTTCTGTTTTTTCAACCATATTTTCTAAGTATTCGACTCGAATTTCATTGGGTGCTGATTTCAAAAATCTTCGCTACAGTCTTAAGCTGTTCAACTTTGAATTTTCCAAAATGACACTTCCTCAAGTAGGAAACAAAATTTACGTTTGATTTCAGATGTTCGAGACTAGACTAAATTTACAGTGAAGGCAAAAAGTTCAGTTTGGATCAATGCCTGGCTGTAATCGGTGAATGGCGCTGTCACCTCATAAACACGTATGTGGACTTGGAACACATTTGCAAAATTTCAGCCCCGGTTTCTTTCTTACCTCCGGAGGAAAAAAACGCTCATCGCGCTCGACCACCCTAACATTCTTACCAAACAAACGCAACAGCTATCGTAACCGTTGGGGCAATAAAACGGTCCATAAATCGGGCTGTTTTTCCAACTATCCCTTCACCGACTGGATTCACCATAGTTTGCCTCCGGTCACATGCGACTGTTACTACGCTGCTACTTTTTTTTAAAGACATATTTCCTGCCTTTTATTTCTTTCATCGGTCTTTGATTTTTAGAATGGAAAACCAAGTAAAACAAGTGAAAGCATCATGGTTGATGCTTTGAGGTCTCGGGACAAGTGGACTCTGGAGGCCAAACTTCTGGGAAACTTGATAGAACTGCTTGTGATAGTGACTCGTCAAGGGAAGCTTGTTGACTGAAGAACGACCAATACCAATGGAAGAACACAGACTTCGTGCCAGTTTACCGGGAGAAAAAACACCAAAAGGAGTGATTCTTTTTAAATCACGAACCAAGGAGACCTCTCACTCAATTGCGACTGACTAATCAAAAAAGAAATGACCGCTCTTTCAGTAAGGTGCATTATTGGCCTCGGCATTGATGGTGCGCTAGAAAACGTGTACAGCTCTCAGTTTACTTTTTCTCAAACTCATAAATGAAGCCAAGCTACGGTAACAGTTTTTATTCTAACACTTAGTTCCGACAGAAGACGGCCGTGCTACACACGTTGATGTGGAACTTGCATCTACAAGCTCAAACAGCTAAAAACAAAGAAATCCCCGTTGTCCCAGAGTAAGCGCCAGCCTTATTACCCAAATGATTTCTGTCAGTTATTTTAAGTTAAGCAGAATTGAATACGAAAATAGATTCCTCGACTGAATACTTACTTTCCTCCCAAATTCCATAACACTGTTTTCGAAATTTGTGGATGACAGACGTAGTGTTTCTGGCTATTTTTACAGCTCTTGGTTACATCGACCAGGTGTACGTGCCCCCAGCAATGCGCTTCTGATCTGACTGTTTGCTCTCAAGGTGATTAACATAAATGGTCTGCGGTTATCACCAGCGTTCACGCTTAAGAGTGATAGTTGAAAACCAACATTCCCCAATGACAGCATTTTGTAGCGCTACTCGAGAGGCGCCGGAGGCTGAATAAGGGCACAGAGTCCTGCAGCTTCCATCTTTTACCCGTCTATCTATCTATCTATCTATCTATCTATCTATCTATCTATCTATCTATCTATCTATCTATCTATCTATCTATCTATCTATCTATCTATCTATCTATCTATCTATCTATCTATCTATCTATCTATCTATCTATCTATCTATCTATCTATCTATCTATCTATCTATCTATCTATCTATCTATCTATCTATCTATCTATCTATCTATCTATCTATCTATCTATCTATCTATCTATCTATCTATCTATCTATCTATCTATCTATCTATCTATCTATCTATCTATCTATCTATCTATCTATCTATCTATCTATCTATCTATCTATCTATCTATCTATCTATCTATCTATCTATCTATCTATCTATCTATCTATCTATCTATCTATCTATCTATCTATCTATCTATCTATCTATCTATCTATCTATCTATCTATCTATCTATCTATCTATCTATCTATCTATCTATCTATCTATCTATCTATCTATCTATCTATCTATCTATCTATCTATCTATCTATCTATCTATCTATCTATCTATCTATCTATCTATCTATCTATCTATCTATCTATCTATCTATCTATCTATCTATCTATCTATCTATCTATCTATCTATCTATCTATCTATCTATCTATCTATCTATCTATCTATCTATCTATCTATCTATCTATCTATCTATCTATCTATCTATCTATCTATCTATCTATCTATCTATCTATCTATCTATCTATCTATCTATCTATCTATCTATCTATCTATCTATCTATCTATCTATCTATCTATCTATCTATCTATCTATCTATCTATCTATCTATCTATCTATCTATCTATCTATCTATCTATCTATCTATCTATCTATCTATCTATCTATCTATCTATCTATCTATCTATCTATCTATCTATCTATCTATCTATCTATCTATCTATCTATCTATCTATCTATCTATCTATCTATCTATCTATCTATCTATCTATCTATCTATCTATCTATCTATCTATCTATCTATCTATCTATCTATCTATCTATCTATCTATCTATCTATCTATCTATCTATCTATCTATCTATCTATCTATCTATCTATCTATCTATCTATCTATCTATCTATCTATCTATCTATCTATCTATCTATCTATCTATCTATCTATCTATCTATCTATCTATCTATCTATCTATCTATCTATCTATCTATCTATCTATCTATCTATCTATCTATCTATCTATCTATCTATCTATCTATCTATCTATCTATCTATCTATCTTCCTATCTATCTATCTATCTATCTATCTATCTATCTATCTATCTATCTATCTATCTATCTATCTATCTATCTATCTATCTATTATCTATCTATCTATCTATCCTTCTATCCATCTATGTATGTATTTTATATGTACGGCTGTAGATATAGATATATTGACCAATAACGCCTCCGAAATCTTCTCCAGGCCTGATGAAGACACCATATCATTAACCTTGAAGTTCGCCAGATAATTTTTGGATGAATCTCTACAACTCAATAGATCACCCGATCGCACCCCATTTTACGCCGCTTAGGTCATGTACTTCGTCGCCAGATTACTATTCATCTCCTAAAGCCCCTTCGTCCAGTTTTTTATCGTTTGGATGCGACCAAAGGGCGGTCACTCCATCACTTGACGACGGAGCATGAAAGATTCCACAATTAAACTCAATCACGACGGTAACTGCTGTCTCCCCAGATGTGGACCGCGGTACAAGACAAACCAGTGGTTCTTGACCCTGATAGATATGAGTGTCATGCAGCCAATGGCGCACCTACTTCAAAGCTATCAGCTTCATTGCTTAGCTCTCATACCCCGCCATACTGATCAGCCACGAACGTTCGACGTCAGTCAGGTGATTAGGTTATCAAACCGAATATGTGGCTCTCATTCTCTTATCTTTATCCTCAGTGAACGGCTTTCAACCTGGAGACTGAACTAGGTCGAACTGATTCACGTGGTGAGTTAGTGATATTATACTGTGACGTGACCTGCTCACCTGAGCAATTAGATTGCCAGCAAACAAGCCAACAACCATCTACGCTACCTGAGCTACCAACATTTCCTCTATAGAAGACGAAATGTATTTTGGGCAACTGTGGCGTAGACGTGGTCGCGAAATCTCCTACTTTCATCTCTACTTCCGGTGGACTTTAGTAGTTTCTTCCCCGTGGATAGACAGTATGAAAATCAGACTGACTAACTTACCGAGGACTTGGGAATAATCCCGGCTTGGACGGAGGCTGTCGGTGAGACAGACCAATCGGTGGTCTGAGAAAAAACACCAATATAGGACGTGGAACAGTTGACGGACTGGGGCGCTTGAGCAACAATAATTGGGGGTTCCGCCGTGTTGGACAGTAGTAATGTGGACTGGTTCGGGAAAAGATTTTCCGGTCGAATAATTTGTGGAGAGGATGACGGTAGGATAGCAGTCAAGGCCACGGTACCCATTGTCGAAGGCACTGTATCGACGGGAAGGCGGATTGAGGTACTTCCGGCTAAGGTAAACGAGTTGTTCAGCATCTGCGTAGAGTTGATTAGTGTGGTGGTTTGTGGAGAGAGCGACTGGATGGGAGCAGTCAAGACACAATTCGAAAACGAAGGCACAAGTGTTGGAACGATATTATCAGTAGTATTATTTGCTACAGGTATGAGGTTGTTGGTTTGAATACCATGAGTTGAAGGTGGACTCCAGAGTGAAGTCAAAATTGTTTGGCCTTGGGGTTCGGCGGGGTGCGCGTTGGGAGAAGGGCTCGACTGTACAGATGGCTTCTCAGGCCCATGTTGGGGGTACTGGGTATACGGGACCCGAGGACTGAGGCTCGGATGGCTCATGTGTACCAGGTTGACTCCCAGACCTATGGTTCTTGGTGTGGGGGGAACGGCTTCGGCAGTGATGACAGCTTGGGAGTTGGTGGTTACAGCCGTTGCCGCACCAATGGTGACGACATTGGTTGGAACTAGTAATCGAGGCGAGTTCGTCACCAAGATGAAGTCCTCTGCAAGATGATGAGAGAACAAATATGGTGGATAAAATAGGACTGGGTAGAATTTTGATGGAATTTTAGACTTTCGGAGTAACAGTGCGTCTCTGAAGCAACTAGGCTATGAGAAACCCAACAGAGTAGGGAACTATGAGCGTTATCAATGAGTTGTAATCGACTGGAACTTTATTCATTGGGAAAAGGAATTAGCTCTACTTATCTCTTCAATGAACCTGTGACTGATGGGATTACCACTTGGCTAGCCTAGCTTAGGGGTGGACATACAGTTGATAGGCGCAGAACTAGGTTTGTTGGCAAAGAACCAAATATCAAGTAAGCGTCCGATAAGAAATCAGAAAGACAGGAGAAATCCACAGATAAACACACACACACAGTACTCGCCTAGCGTATTGAGTGCATTGTGATTCACCGATGTGACAGTGGTTGGGGCGACGGGGCATTTATTCTTAAACGGATATTCCGGACTTTGCACCAAGTTTGGAACTAGACCGTCTGCACTGGAATAGGGGCCAACCGTTGCAACAGCCACCGTTGGGATTAGGTTCGCGGGTTTCGGGCTGAGGTGAACTACCGAAATGTTGGCACGGGTGTTTGGTGTGACCAAAACCGACCCAGTCGGACACTCGGACAGACCGACTGCGTTGGGTTGTCGGTGTAACAGTTCCTGTTGTTGTGGCTGTTGAACGTCCGTTGAACTCTGCACACTGGCTTGGAGGTCCAATGCTGGCTGCCCAACGGGACAAATATCGTAATTCAGATGGACAAACCGGTCAGAAGGATATTGTTGTTGTTGCTGTTGCTTCTGCTGCTGTTTTCGTTCCTCATTGTTTGATTTATCACCATCAGCCTGATCCACTGCAGAAAGTGTGTCGGAGACGAGGCCAACTACTCCTAGATCAAACAGGTCTGGATTGTCATTTTTTTGTAGACCTTGGCAATAAGGATGTGAAACCTCGTGGGATGTAACATCCATTGACAAACAGCTTCCACTATCCGTACTGCAAACATCCTCACGTGACTCTTTGCTGCTCACCTGCTTTGTTATACGGCCGGTGTTTTGAGTTTTCAGCTTAGATGTCGACATCCAAACCGATTTACCTTGCAGTTCGTTTGATTGTAGATGCTTTTCGTGTACAATCGCAGCACTTGGAACCTTGTCCAACCAACGTGGTTTGCTGCCGTCCTCTGAACACGGGCAATAACAAAGAGAGAGAGAAAGAGTGAAAAGAAGTCGATGAAGATTGTCACAGCGTTTGAAGAAGGCAAGAAAGAAATAGCACCAAAGGAAGAACTGATGCTGTTTGGTCATGGTTCCGATGCTCTTCTGTGTAATAAATCGAGTAAAGGTCAGAGAACAATATTTATGGGGAGAACACAAAGATTCACAGTTGACACTCAGAAACAGACCGTGCACAATCGCCCCCCTAAAAAGCATCAACACACGACAAGCAATCCACATTAAGAGGTCCCTTTATTCTGACACGTTGCGACTTCGTCGGAAATTGATGTCCCGCAACAGACGACCCACAGCTTCAATGAAGATCCCTGAATGACCTCGAGAACAGAATCTTTCCCCAGCACAGACCAGAACTAGGAATTCACAAAATGGTCCTCATGTAATTTCACACCAGTCAGGTGTCAGACCTGTAGTCTGAGGAGCAAAAAGCGGTTTCACCAACAACTGGGGATCACAACTATCACACTGTTTCCCCTGCAGCAGAGACCACCGTTCAAATGGGGCTGCGCTGGTGACCGCGTGCGGTAGAACCATTTGTTTACCACACATGTAAATATCGTTTAATACACAGAACATCGGTAGCTTCACAACTCGACGTACTGTATGTTCGACCAAGTTACTTGACCATCAGGAAGGAAATAAGTAATATTCATAATGGAAACTACTCACAACGTCGCTGAAACTCTTCGACACGACCAAGTTACTTGACCATCAGGAAGGAAATAAGTAATATTCATAATGGAAACTACTCACAACGTCGCTGAAAACTCTTCGACAGCCCACGACCGGTTTTGCTCTTATTGGGGCTCATCAAGTAGGCACAGTCCCGAAGTTTCCGTCAACCTTATGTTCTACTTGAACCAAAATTGGACTAGTTTCGAAAAATACATTCATTTGAAAATCAGTTTTGTTTTTCACAAGAGAATCGACTGAATCTCTCGTTTATGATATTCTAATTCTGAAGACAGATGACCCTGTTTAGATATATCATTTCTTTGTGGCACGCATGTGGTGAACTCATCTGTATTTAGTCTTCCCATTACAACTAGTTAGCGAAGCGTTTTCAGCAACCTCGTGAGTATATTCCTTTATGAAAATATACTGCCATATCTCGAATATCGTGTTAACTGAAACATGAGGTGGCCTGTGTGCAGCACATTCAGTTGTAGAATATCACAGACGAGAGATTCAGTTGAGTCTCTTGTGAAAAACCAAACTGATTTGCAAATGAGTGTGTTTCTCGAAAATAACTAATCCTTTCTTTCTTTCTCAGCTCAGATATGCTCTGTGTGATCACTTGGTTGCAGTTTTAAGAAAACAGTCTACCGCCTATTCACTTATGAAACCCATTCTAGCTGTTGCACATGTCTGTAGATGGCAAGCACTTTCAGAAAAACGTTCCAGCCCCCAAGTACTCTCTTCCATATCCGAACAAGCAAAACGGAAATACAGCAGGCACCGAGAGGGGTTACATAAGACAAGTCTATCCGTACCGAAGTACATACTGTGAAAGATTGCGTACCATATTTTCCTATGAGGGGGAGCTATGTATCTGAGTGAGTCAGAAAGAATGGGACCAACTGTGTCTGAAGATGGCACTGCATGTTTCTGCCGAAACGAACACTACAATCAACGCGTGACCACAGGAGATCATATCAGGTAGCTGGCCAATCAGGTTTGGTCCTTTTACCAGGCATAATAATCAGTCCAAATTTGTGTAGCACGATAGCAGATAATTGACATTACCATTGCGTATCCATACCAAGTACAATTAGCTGCGGATACACAACACACGAACCCTCAAACGTGCTCAAAATAGGATGGACGAGCTGCGCATAAATACCGTTGAAACAATCGTACTTCACTTGGAATTTCAGTTCCAAAAGACGACAGAAACTACAGGGATAAATCAAGGCTTGGTCCGTGCGAAGTGAAACTGATGTCGTTTCTACCCGATGTGTCACCTGTACCCAAAATTTATTAAAACGTCCCGTGGGCTGTCGAAACAGTGTATAACGTCTTCGAGAGGGCACAGCAGGTGAATAGTAGGGGAACAAGTTGATGTACGGTGGGGGACTTTTACCAATCACCAACTGTTAGAAGATCTAGCAGATACAGTATCTTTATCTCAAAAAGACAATCCAGTGTCATTTATTTGTCTCGACAGGATCTGTTCGCAGCGTGATTTGGCGGTAATTAGTTTGTCCGCGACTGTACGCGCAATGCAATTTTTGGGTAACCAGTACATACATGCACACAGGAATAAATACGGGTGTGAAAGCATAGCTAAATAGTTTAATAGCTGGGAGCCGAGTGGTCGTACAACAGGGATGTATTTTTCTGATTGTAACTTCTGTTAATCAGTGGAAAGTACACTGAGACATAATAGGGAATGAACAGTAAACGACCGAGGAATGGAGCCGTGCGGGGAGGAATCTTCTCTACAGGACTGTAGTGAACCAATCCGATTGCGTGAAAATTTGGACAGAATATGTACCAGCCTGTACAGTAATCGTTGGTAACCACATGTCCTTCTTTATTCGTTAAAACCGACCTTGATTTCTGGTTTGTGGGAATTCTGGTCTTGTCGGTTAATGAACACTATCTACGAAGCTTATACCGCTCAAGAACAGGCAGTCTTCCGTATGGTAAAAGCAAGGACAAGCCATTCTATCTTCTCATATAAAATTACGTTAAGTATTTGCGATCCGACTGACCTCCAGTGTAGCCACTACCCGATACAATCAGTCCTCAGAACTCTTTAACCATAGGTCTCTTTATCAAGTTTTACTTGTTTACCCCTGCTAGTTTCAACCGCTTTAAAACTACGTGACTGCTTCTCTTCCAAAACGAATTAAAGTTGTGGTCTTGCGGTCTATTTCCTGTGTATTTTTATTCAATGGGCTTGGAAACTCCAATCTCCCTCTTCTAGACCTTCCATGATAGCTCAATCTTTTGGGTTATCTTTGGGTGATGGACTGAACTGTGTAAGCTTATCGATTTCACGAAATACGCTCATTTGCAAACAAATTCGGTTTTTCGAGAGACTCACCTAGAACCCAGCTTTATGATGTTTTTTATGAGAATATACTGCGATATACCGACAACTGAACGGTGAGGTGCAGCATATTCAGTCAGTTAAAACCATCATAAATGAGAGATTCGGTTGGGCTCCAGGTGAGTCTCTCGAAAAACCAAATTTGTTTGCAGTTGGGTGTAGTTTGCTAATCATATGCAATCTGATCTCAAGTAGAACATAAGGTTGACGGAAACTCAGAGAGTGTGCCTAGATGATGCTTCCCAAGAAAGGCAAAACCGGTCGTGGGCTGTCGACGAATTTTCAGCAACCTTATGAGTAGTGTATTACGTCGATCAATATCCATTTGTGCAGTGCCCAGGTTCTCTATGCTGAAGATGGGAACTTCGTCCGCTACAGTTGCGTCAACCTTATGTTCTACTTGAACCCGAATTGGAATGTTTTCGATATCTCGGATATCGTGCCAACTGAAACATGAGGTGACCTGTGTGCGGCACATTCAGTTGTAGAATATCACAAATGAGAGATTCAGTTGAGTCTCTCGTGCAAACTAAATTGATTTGCAAATGAGCGTATTTGTCGCTGTCAGTCCAATCTGGGTTCAAGTAGAACATAAGGTTGACGGAAACTGGGTCGCGTTCGATGAATCGGGCACACCAATCACATCGCTCAAGTGTGAACACGTTCGCCTGTTCAGACGTGGTAATTCAGATGCGTCCAACGTGCGATGGCGGAGTAGTGGTTACACGCTCGCCTCGCATGTCTGTTCAAATCCTGGTACGCTCATTGGATGTGCACTGCTGATTTGCTCTAATGAGAGCGAAACTCGAGTCCAGTGCTTCCCTTTGGTGTGGACTCACCGGAATAATCACGCCAAAGCAGGAACACGACCGTTCAAACAAGAGTGGTGTGACTGTGAACAAAATATCTATTCTACAAAACCCCCAGATTGCAGATTAAGATTTGAAGAGTCTTCATACTTATTCTTGTGATTAATCCAGCCGTACGATATCTGTGTGGCCTGATCCTATTGACTTTCAAGGATTGCAGTCACCAGCAAGTCATGTCATTCTCGTAGGCCAGCAGTTTGGTTTACTTTGGGCTAGCAATCGATTGCTGATCCTGGTACTTGTCACCATTATTGTAGGTTTGCTATCAAACATAAACTCAGCAGATTACCTCAAACGGCTGCTTTCAACCGATTTATAAATGTACAGCAGAAAACTCTACCGTCAAATGGATGAAGCCTTCACGAGATCAAGGTAGAGACCATTCTTTGCTGATTTTCCTACGGGCAAACTACCCGCCACCACCCTTAATACGATGGTGTCTTGTTTGGCGACAGGCGATGTACGAGTGATCCTATGTTTCTTTTGGGAACAATTACCTAAAAATATGAGGAATAACAGACTGGCCAGCTGTCACTCCAAGTTAATGCCCGCACAAAAGTCAACATAAATGAGGAAATACAACCACTACCCTATGGGAGTGAAGATACTTTCAACGTAAAATCTTTTCAACAGGACAATAAAGAAGTCGTTGAGAAGTCGTTGCTCGAGGAGCCAGTCAACCGCATGAGGTGGATCCCGTGATTGAAGGATGAGCGGCGCGATTTTCCGTCTAAATGCGAGTTAATCAGGCTGCTGATCAGCCGCCCGTGGCCGAACCGCTAAGTGTTCAAACTACTAGCCAGGAGTTCGCGGGTTCGAGACTCTTCAGAGCTTCGTGGATGGGCACTCGTTGATGATTCCGAATAAGGATGAAACAGCTGTACAGTGCTTCTAGGCTTTTCAGCATAGACTGGCTTCACTTACGGGACGAAATCTCCACAATAGAGATATTTACTCTGCAAGTGTAAATTGGACTTCCGTGAGAGGTATTTTCTGGCAGCGTCTAGTCTGATCGGCTCCTAGAAATAATTGTGGTAAACACTGGTACACTGTTACCAAACTCCATCTGTGTCTGCGATACCAAAGGGGCTCAATCTCCCAATGCTTCATGCAGACGTCGGTCAACAGATAACTATCTCTAGTCAACGTATAGTCTGAAAGCAACCGGAATTTCGGATGCCTCATCAGACAACTTTCAAATTGAGACTGTTGGTTGCTGGTTCGCAAGGTTGTCAAACATGAGGTGCCTTTCCCAGTCCCCCGTTCCTGCAGGATGTCAAGCCATTTTCTGAACCATTGTGTAAATTACTGTCTGAACATCTCCCGTCGCTAAACAGACGACGCATCGGCATTACAGTATTATCTCACCACCTAGTAGATAAACGACAGCAAGCAGAAACTGCCTTCGCAGTCCAAGACTACCGAAACCGGAGAGAATATGGAAGACGTATATAGCGGCAATTGTCGTTATTGGGGCCCACAGACCGGATCTTTGGGTTCAGAGTGGTTCTGTCGAAATGCTGCGTCCATTGCGGTCTAGCCTGAACAGCAGAGATTACTTTCCGACAGAGGGCACGGTGCCAAATGACTAGCGCTCAACACGCTACCCAGGTCATCTCAAAGAACCACACTTGTCCCTGTCACTTGACCAGTGCGTTACGTTTTCTGACCTCAATTTCTTACTGGCTAATTATTTATCGGTGGCCCCAATGTGTATGGAAATTCTACGTTCTCACTAAAACGTCCGCTCCATACCAGAATTCGTTCGCTTTGTCATATCACCTTGAAAATAACAGACTGTAAATATTGTCATTTCTTGTTGACTGAACAACATTCAGAAGAAGCAAATTTTATTTGTTCACTAAAGCTTTTTAACAATAAAAAACCGTACATTTTGAGTGTTTGGACGGACGGTATTCCGCCATACTTCTTTAAACGTTGATGAGGAATTTTCTGGAAACTAGATAACACTGAAGAAGGCTTACTTTTCCGCACTTGAATCAGATCGGGCCGCATACCCACGAGAAAGCATTTTTTCAACCTGCATGCTGGACACTCACGTCGCGTGCTCGGAGTAATCTCGTGCTCGCCTGTCTTCGACGTACACGTCAGTTCCTGGGGGCAAAAAGAAACAATTTTAGTAAGACGTTACTACTGACTGGGTGATGATCTGTGCCAGACAAACTAGCAGGGAGCAACAGGATGGTAGATAAAGAGGGCGTGATAACTTAATTGGCATGCCCGGGTCTTCCAGTGTGGTAATAAGGTCTCCAACGCGTCTTCCCAAGAAGGACAACAAAAAAGCAACGGAACGACTGCATGGTGAGGACTACCACTGACAGACATATTGCAGCTTTTCGTCTAGACGTGGATGTTATCTTGTTTCACCGTGGGAAGTCGTCACCCTAACCACGTAGTAAAGGTAAAAATGAGGACGGGCATAACTTGGAACGAACTGGACATCACAGAGAGTGAAAAGACCGTAGGGTACAAACTGTAATTGACTGTTTTGATTATACATGCAGTAGGACACCTCCGCTGGGGAAGAATCCCAAAAAGTAGTAAGATTTTGAAGTTAATCATGCATGCAGAGGTGCTTTGCTGTTTCGTGTCCATTATTCCTACATAATTTTGAAACATAAGTAGTCATTATTATCTAACTGTTTAGGCGTCTGAAATTTCTACCAGCTACACAGTGTTTCCGGTCACTTTGAATTTCAACACACCCTACGGTTTTTGTTTCACCTTTCAGAACTATCCTTACCGAGCTTTCGGTGGGTATCATTTGGGTAAAATTTTTGATACTTGATTAGATCAGTATCTAGTTTTCAGTTCCGGGCTGGATGTCTGAATAGAACTGCTTTGCTTGCCTGCAAACACACTGCAATGTATTCATTTATCGTTAGCCCTTTTTCCCAACGCCCTGGTCTACACTCACATCTGCTGAGCTTTGTCGAACACTTTCAGCCGGCATGAAACAAGCAATTATTAATGAACTTTTTGACTAAAACATGAATAGAAGCACAGTGCATCTATTGCGGGCCTGGTGCCGCAGTGCTTGCCAGTACACTCAAAATACCGTCTTTCACGGTAAACCGAGAAAAAAAGCAGATTTGTAATGGGCAAATGAGTGTTCAGTTTTCAGCGGTTTTTCCGCAACAAGATGATCGGTTTTATTTGCGGTATTTCGACTTAAGACAACCAGTAGTTTCTTGTTTTAGATGACTGCAACAAAGTACAGGTGCGTGGTGACCAAGACGTGAAGGAGCCTAGATTTATTCCACAGAATTGTCTGAATAGCTGCGATATGTTGGGTGTCTTTGCTGGTAAGGAACATACTTCCAAATAACGCAGTTTCGAGTTCCTTGTCTTGTTCTAACTGGATCGATCACTTTTACGCTGTTCGACTATGCTCGACATATGAGTTTGAATCGGTGGGCAGGCTAGTACGAAGCGATTTTCTGGACGTCACTTCACAAAGTTACCAAGTATGAAGAGGACTGGTGGGTGGACGTTGCCACATCAGTAGTAAAACGATAGTATTCCTCCTCATTATCCATTGAAAATTTGTTCAGCAAAATGTGAGCAAATTTAAAAAAAGAAATTATGAACAGATTCCCACTTCCGAAGAGAATTTACAGTGGTATTCATAAAGGTAGGTCAAACTTATTGAAACATTTCCTTCCATTTGCTTTGTTTAATGGAACCTTGTACGCATCCACTATACATCTATTAAACAGAGAGACAGTATCGTTCGTGGATCAATTTCAGTTGGATAACTGAGAGATTTTGGCAAGGCTCAGTTGAATCCCCTGGTTAACACCATGTTTATGCCCACAAATTCAACCCTGTATAGTCTTTTCGAATCCTGGTTATGAGATCTCTGCGACCCCCTTTGACTGGAACACCTTCAGCCTGTTAGTACTCCATTCACGCGCCGTTCGATTTTGTGATTGAAGTCTGTGTTTAACACCAAAACGCAACAGTTTAAGGCCATAAGTGCAATTTTCATACTAAACTAATTCAAAAATGAGTGTATCTCAACTACTGAAAGTTTGCCCTAAAACAAATGCATAAGTTGTGCCAGTATCCCTCGAGGAGCAAAATTCACTCATGAAACTGTGTTCACACTGGTCAAAACAATCAGGCATCTTACATAGCTTTATTCTCATACAGTCAATTCGGACCCAGGGGTCCATCCACCGGCTTGACGGGTGAAGCAACAGGTAGGCCTACTATATGGCTTATTCGTCCTGATTCTCGTGAGGAGCACTGTAATGCATAGTTTGAATAGTATAAGCTACATTCCGTGGCCATGAATAAGTTGTAGTTTGAAGAATAACAAAGGAACAAAGCAAACGGCCTCAAATTAGCATCCCTTTTTATGGCCAACGCAGCTGCAAGAGACTGAGAAAGTAATGTTTCTTCATTTCGGCAAAACACGCAATAAGTGTCTAACTTTTGCAGTCCCCGGGCAATTTTCCACGGAGTAAACTGATGAAATTTTAGCCGGAATCACATCCGCTTAAATTTCTAATGTTTGGTGAGACACCTTAGCCCCCCGTCTGCGGATCAAGAAGACTGAAACCGCTTAGTCCTAACTGTGCTGAGAACTGTGCGTCGTCGATGAGTTTCTCTTAAAAACAAGTATCAGCAGTTTATTGCAAAACCGTATCTCGGGCCGATCCGATGAGTGTGCTTGGATCATAAAATCTACACACAAGGACAGTTTTCCACTAACTAGATCATGTATGATATTTTCTGTTGTGATGCAACCCGAATGATTATGACGATGCTGATGGAAAGGAATGTTAATTAGTCCGTAGACGATATGTGATGGGCGTGCGTGTTCGATGGAGGGAGATGCAGCCTCGCTCTCTCTCTCTCTCCCATATCTCCACGTCACACCAGCCTAAAAAAGAATATTTTCAGTAAAAAGCTAATTAGACTTATTAAAGGAACTCAGACTGAATTTCAGTATCCACACTAGTGTTGGAAGCTTACGGGGAGGGAGATGTTACCTTCGAAGGTTTAGATTCTGGGATTTAGAGGTAGTCGAAAAGGGCTCACGACCGGCCGTTAGATTTTCCTTAGTAGTGGATGATACCGTCTAATAGGAAACTGCTCCCCGTTCCCGGATTCACTGTAACATTTACGATCACAGTGTGCAGCTGACAACCAAAGGTACATTTTCTTCCAAATTAGCTTGTTGAAACCAACGTGCTCCGTGGTGTGTGACGTCTGGTAAGGAATGATAGTATGGAGTTGTTGCTATTTATCACTAAGCTAAAAGTCTTGGAAAAGACGTTAGCCATCCTTATACATAACTTGATCCAAAAAGCAACCACTCAGCTCAGATTTGTACGACAATTTATCGATGACACAAAGCACAACGGTCAACATCAAATAGTCTGCTGCGATGTGGCATGCTTGTGTGCTATGTACCAGCAGTGATATTCCAGTTGATGGGTTTATAGTGGATGGGTGAAGTTCCGTCAGTGTTAAGAGTATGTAGCAACAGGTAATGATACAGTATAAGGTTTGAATCAAGACATACCATACCTGAAACTATTTGAAACAGGTCTCTGGATGGTGCCGTATGTAGCCTTATCTGGGCCCGATCATTGCAACAACTTCAACCCAGTCTATTAATGGCAACCCCCTAGAGGCACTAAGAATGAACCTGTTGCATAAGTGTCTACTTGTAACCCTTCTTTTAAGAATGCCTCCTCTTTCAGGAAAGCTGTTTATCTGCTGCACAAATTCCTGTGCTTAACTTCACATGGGTTTCTCATAAACGTCTTTTATCGAAAGTCACCTAATAGCACACTGTACAAACCCATCTTTCGCTAAACAGTTGACAGTCGTCGACAAATAGCTTCGTTTGACAAGGGAATCATCTCTCTCAGCTGAATGCACCTGAATCTCACATTTATGGCAGTCTACTTTAACTGAACGTATTTCGCAAAGGGGGCCTAATTTATCAGTTGAAGGGTGGAAGAGAGCCACAGGCGGTCAAACAATGAATTGGCAGCGAAGTATAAAAGCCAGTACCAGCAAACCCAGCTGCGCTGGCCGTCTTCCTAGATGGAGCCATGAGCGGGCCATATTCAATAGTTAGAGACATTGGCAGACATGGCTCAGTTGCGCCCTCAATGGCACTGATGCATCCAAGCTATTGCCATCAATGCATAGCTGCTCTCTTCCCAATCCACCCACCACTTGACAGCCCACTGACAATGCTACGTTTATGCACCAATTTATCAGCTCCCACCTCCAATGCGCAGCTACCTACCCCAGCTCCCCGAAACATCGGTGAACGAAACTGTGGCAGCTACAACCACTGTACGACCAGTACGCGGTTATTACAGCTGCTGCTGCTGCTGCTG